TTAGGACCTATCCCATATGGATCGTTTCTGAAGAACATCTGATTTCTTCCTTTTTCTCTTCTTTCCTTTTTGGGCACTAAGGATGGAACCCAGGGCCTCATGAATACACCCTCAGCTTTGGGTGTTGGTGGTTAGCCTACAAAGGGTTACCTAAACAAATTGGTAGGAGAGAAGCTGCTTTTGTGCTCCTCACTAATGTTACCTTTCTGGTACAGAGAACAAGGAGTAGGTACCACCAGAAACTTCAATGTGCCCCAGTTTGTGAATAACCTGAAGAGATGCAAGATGGCTCAAATCTAGAAGTCTGTGAGGCCATCCAAGTGGAATGTGAACTTGAATGGCTTTGGGAACTGCCCAGGGGATTGCTAGAGCACACTTCTGGGAGTGTAAGGTGGCACGGAGGTGCAGCTTTGGGATCTCTACCTGGTCCCTGGCCCTTCTGCTCTGGCTATTCTCCTGCTCTGCTTCCTAGCTGCCAAGAACTAAGTAGCCTTGCTCTGCTGTGGCCTTCCACCATGATGTTCCCGCCTTGGGGCCAGCCAAGCACGGATTGAATCCTCTGAAACCGTGAGCCAAAATAAAGTTCTTTAAGCTGTGGGTCTTGGTTGCGTACTGTGTCCCAGAGATGAGAAAGCTGACCAACACAGTCCGTTATATGGCTACTTATTTTATAGGCTTTCCAACTCCAACCATTCACTTGAAATGATATTCGAATGCACTATACTATGGTTCATCTTTAATTGCTAAATTCCTAATCAGTCCCTTTACTCATCATACAGGAATTCAATTTCTAACCTGATTCCATGGCAGCTTCAACAAGATATGTGCAGTATTTACTGAATATCTATTATGTCCAATCATTTTGTGCTGAGCAAAAAAGATACCAGATATGGTCAATAATGAGGAAAGTATGTTAAGAAATGAACATTAAAGGAGCACAAAATTCATTTTACATTACTAATTTTCACAAAATTTGTTTTCATACAAAAAAAAGTCCTATTTCAAGTAACATCCAGTACCTTCACGCACCCCATGAACAAGTATCAGCCCATATCCTCTACTCCCCACCTCCATCCACTCCAGGGACGGAACCTGAGCCCACTGACCCACACACCAGCCTCCAAACTTTCCCCAAACTGCATGCCGTGAAAGCGGGTTGCTGTGCAGTGGTCTGATTTGGGTTTTTTGTTTGTTTGCTTTTTTAATTTTGAGGGGAGGGTGTAAGTGAGGAAGTCTGGCAGGATTACAGGTAAGGAAGATTAAAATACCACAAAGTACAGGCAGTTTTCTTTTTTCAGAATTTAGTGGTCAGTAACTGAATGGTTGCAGCTATGGAGTAATTAGTTCCTGAGGAAGGCAAACGATAAAAGGAAGCTTTGAAGTAACGATCGGCTAGGGTTAAGGATGAGAACACAAGAGCCAGTGTGTTAGGACACATATTTGTATGCCACGCACACACAGGCTGAAACCTGAGCCACTTTATGAACTCTGAAGTTTATGAAGACTGTGCCAGGTTTCCTTTATTCCTTTCTGAGAGTGCTGGGGATCAAACCCAGGACCTCACACATGACAAGCAAGTGCTCTACCTCTGAGCTACACCCCACACTCATCTTTTTCTCTTTTTTTTTTCCCCCAATTTCAAATCAGGTTCTTAGGCCGGGAATTTAGCTCAGCGGTGCCACCACCTGCCTCAAAAGCACAAGGACCTGAGTTCCATCCCTGGTACCAAAGGGGAAAAAAAAAAGAAAAGAAAAGAACTACAAGTCAGATTCTTGTTAATTCACCCAAGGCTGGAACTTTCCATCCATGCCTCCTGCTTCTAAGCACCTGAGATTACAGGTGTGCAGCACTACACCAGGGTCCAGGTTTCCTTTTTAGAGCTAGGCAGGAAGCACTTAAAATCCCAAAGGTAGTAGCCAGGAATAGTGGTACACACTTATGATGCCAGCACTCTGGGAAGCTAAGGCAAGAATTTGTGAGGAGGACCACAGTTCATGCCCAGCCTGGACAACTTAAGCGACCTAAGCAAGACCCTATTTCAAAATTTAAAAAAAAAATATGGGCTGGAGATGCAGCTCAGTGCAAAAGCCAAGTTAAATCCCCCTTACAAAAACAAAACAAATATATATATATATATATATATATACACACACACACACACACACACACACACACACACTTTATGAAGAGTCCACCAAATGCTCCTGAAAAATAATGAGGCTGGCTAGTGAAGGTTTCAAAAGTCATTCTACTATCTTATCATAATGGTGCACACCTATAATCCCAGAACCTGGGAGCTACAGCAGGAGACTGGAAGTCTGAGGCCAGCTTTGATTACAGTGAGACCTTCTCCCAAAACACCAAGCAGGGAGGGGCTTGCTGCAGACGTAGCTCGTAGCTCGGTGCAAAGATCCTTGGTTCAATTTCCAGTACCACAAAGGAGAAAAAAGTATGCTAGAAAGTAATCATGAGCATAGACATTTTTTAGATGGCCTTGTTATACTGTCAAGAGAAAAAAGAAAGCAGCTCAGCAGCACAGAGCCTGCATGGAAACCACAAGGCCCCAAGTTTGATTCCCAGCCAAAAAAAAAAAACCCCACAGAGAATGTTGATGTATATGTAGAATCTTTGGGGGAAGAAAGGTGAGAAATAAGAAAAATATCCTGGGCCGGGGATTTAGCTCAGCGGTTCGGTTCGGTGGCCTGCCTTGTAAGTGCAAGGACCTGAGTTCAATCCCCTGTACCACAAAAAAAAAAAAAAAGAAAGAAAGAAAGAAAAATATACACATTTACCTGTATCTGAATAAAGAAATAAGGAAGAATACACAAGAAACTTTAAATGGTGAGAGCTAAAAGGGGTTTGGGTGGATGGAGGAGAGATGACCAACACAACTTCATTATTCACACATACATGCATGTACACTCAGTTTAAAGCTTTATTTATAAAAACAAGTTTTAAAACACAAGATGCGCCTTGATACCATAATGTTAAGTGAAATAAATTAGGCACAGAAGCTTAAGTACCATATTGTTTCTCTTATATGAGAAACCCAAAATATAAATAAAAACCAAAATAAAAGATAGAAGTAGGGAAACATCTTCAAACAGTAAGGGTATCAAGAGATGGAGAGAGAAGGGGGAAAGGAATGAGAAAAGAATTGGGATGTGTTCTGTACATGCACCAACTCCACACAAGGAATGTAACCGTTATGTACTGCAAATATTTACCAAGAAATATGAAAAATCATAGTTTCTTCAGTCAAAAAAGTTAAAATGTGGTTAACATAATAACCCATCACCTAAGGTATAAAATGAGTTAGGGTTCACTCTGCCTTGTATTCCCAGCAGCACGATGACATCAAACATTTGTTTACGTCTACAAGGACTTAAGTACCTACTCAGATAGTTGTTTAGCGGGGCTGCCTCACCTTCATCTGGCACATGATAAATCCAGGTCTGAGGAGACTTAGGAGACTCCTCTGAGGCAGAGAGTACACTGTAAATGCACTGGGCTCACCTGGACCCTCAGGGCCTCTGCTACAAAATGCTTCTGTTCACATGGGCCATGCTGTGACCATCTCTGTGGTCAGCACTGGCTGGCTAACGTGGACGCTGCTCTCACTGTCCCGGCCCCACGGCACAGGTGTCATTTTCATCCCACCCAAAGCACTAGCGCTCAGCACCCGTGCAGGAGGAAAGAGGGCCGTGTGGGGCCTGCCCTTCTGGTGTAGGGAATGGAAGGCAAAGCTGGCACCAGGAGAGGACACTCATCACAGCTGGCCTCGAAGTAGCCAGCTAGGAGGACAGCAAAGCCCACCTCCCTGCCCGGCACCAAGAGACCAGGGTTGCACACTTCATAGTGCATAGTTAAGTGCTGAATAAAAATCTGTGAGTGAAGATTAACGGCCAGACATACAGGCCTCATAGCCTTGCTAACTCACATTGTAACAGTCTCAGTGATCTCAGCAGCAGACTGCATCACCTGAGAAGCCTGAGCTGAAAGCTTCACCCCAATTCAACAGTGCTGGGAGGCGGGCCCAGCAGAAGGTCGCTGGGCCAGGAGGACTCCCGCTTGTGAATGGACAGTTGTCACCAGAGAGGCGGCTATCAAAGGGTGAGTTCCGACCCTCTTCTCTATCTTCCCTCTATAACCGTCCATCAGGGATGATGAAAGGAGGCCAGCACCAGTGCCAACGCCTCGGTCTTTGACTTCATGGCCTCTGGAACCGAGTGCTACCAAATTCCTGCTCATTATAAATGACCCAGAGCTGAGGTGTGGCTCAATGGCAGAGCAAGTACTAGCACGCACAAGGCCCTGAGTACAAAAAAGGCCTGAACCTGGCGAGCTCCGTGGCACCACACCCTCTTAAGTGCAAGGTCCTGAGTTTGATCCCTGGTACTCCCCAAAAAGGTGGGGCTGGGTTCCTCATCAGAAATAAAAAGGAAACAATTCTAAGTGATATTTGAGAGGAAAAAAAATCATGAAAATTAACTTAAAAAAGAAAACAATGCCAAAACTGAATTTAGGCCAAGGTCAATTATGATTCAAAGTACACTTTTTTTTTCAGCTTTTAATTCACCAAAATGGTGCCACTGAAACAAACATGACATGACCAGGCAGAGGGGGAAACCTTCAGTAAGGCCACAGAGGAACAGACAGAACCCGCGTTAACTTTTCAGACACAAAGAAAGTAAAACCAGGCTGGAACTGCCACCCTCCTTCCCCTCCTCCACCTTCTCCCTCTTTTTCAGTACTGGGCATTAACTAAACCCAGAGCCTTTACACTGAGGTACATTTCCAATCCTTTTTATTTTATTCTGAGCCAGGGTTGTATTAAGTTGCCCAGCCTGGGCTGGAACTTGTGATTCTCTTTCCTCAGGCTCCCACACAGCTGGGCTTGCCCCACTGCACCTGGTACTGCCATTTCGGAGAGGCAACATTCACTCCTGTCATCAGATATCCACAGCCAGGCACTGTTCAGCATCCAGACACTGGGTCTACCACTGAGCAAAAGGAACATCACTGCCTTCAGGGAGCACCTCTTCCAGCAGAGGGGCCAGGCCAGAAGCTGACCAGTAAGTAAGTAAACCACACCGCAGGTCAGAGGTGAAGTAGCGTAGGAGGGAAAAGCAGGCCAGGGAGGTGGGGAGGTGAGTGGAGTGAAGGAGGAAGGACAGAGGAAGGCCCAGAGAAGGCAACAGCTGAGGAAGGGCACACAGGCTGAGGTGAGCGAAGACCTCAGACCAGGTGACCACCTCTAAAACTGTGCTCCAGGCAGGGGCAGCTACCTGAGACCAGGAAACAACTGGCTTTTAACTGGTAGTCTGAGAGAGAGAGGGAGCAGTCTAGTTACCACCTGCTTCCTAAGCACTGAGGCACTTTGTGCATGCTGTGATAAACAAGCAAAGAGAACTTAAGCAAAGACTTGAGCCTCCTGTTTCATTCTACACAGAAAACTAATGCCCAAGGCAGGACTAGAATCAAGCCTGGGTCCTTGGTACAAAGGAGAAGGGGGTAAGAATGGATGCACACGCTGGCCCAGGTGAAGCCACTTGCAATTCCTCCTCCACGCTTACCTCACCCGGTCCCCGTCCCTCCTGCCTTGCTCGCTGTCACCCTCCTTCTGCCCACCTCTAGGTGTTGGGGTGCCACAGCAGTAGTCCTCTCCTAACCCCACCCCCAGGCCACCAGTAGCTCCAGGATCACTCACACCTGTGGTTTCCACTTCTCAGGCCTGTACCGGTGCCCTGGAGCATTTCAGACACAAAAGACCTGGACCCAGCCCAGAGGCAGGGGGCCTGGGCACCCCAGTAGTTACATGCACTTCGGAATTGAGAATCTCTGAACTACATGCACCTCCGCCCTAATGCTTCCCTAAGTCCAAACGCCAAGCAGCGCCTGTGTGAGTGTTAAAGTCCTCTCTCTCACACCTAACCAGGTCAAAAAAAGAGCTGCACATCTTTCCCAGGCTTCTCTCCTCACTCCTACTCTTCTAATCATCCCCCACAAAAACCTGTCCAGTTCTACCTCTGCCAATTCCCACAATTGGTTTCTATAGCCAGAGAATAAAATCTGAGATGTCGCCCACAGCCTGCAGGGACCTTCTTAGACTGGCCGGGGCATGGCCTTCTAGCACTGCTGTGCCCTCAAGCCTTTAGACCAGCTCTCCTCTCTGACCCCGCATACTTATTGCTGGTTGCGGGTCAAATTTCACCTCCGAGTTCTGACCTCAGCCTCCCTGACCAGACCCCTGGAGCGGCCCACACTCAGTTCTCCCAAGTCACCATAGGGCTTTCTGTTTCCTTTCCGTCCAAAGCACTGATCACCACTATCAGAGCAAACTCCAGAGCCAGAACATCTACAGCCACACTCCAGGCTTAGCCTCTGACTGGCCCTGAGACCCTAGGAAGCATTCTTAACTTCCTCAGTCAGTTTCCACATGTGCACTGGGAGGCTGTTCACAGTACTATCTCGTATGGTTACCGCGTACAGTTAATGCACATGAAACACTCGGAGTAAGGCCCGACCCAGAGAAGTTCACTGTCTTCCCCCACCTGACAGCAACTTGCACTAGGACAAAGGCTCATCTGTCTCACTCACTACTGTCCTCACAGAGCGAACACAGAACAGGCCCTCAATACACATTAAAGGACCAATACACTGCACGTGGTGGCGTATACCAATAATCCCAGCACTGGGGAGGCTGAGGCAGAAAGAGTATGAGTTCGAGGCTGGCCTGACCTACATAGCGAATTCAAGGCTGGCCCAGACTAGATAGCCAGATCCTGTCCCCAAAACACAAAACATAAAGGACAAACACATTTCCAGGTCTAGCATTTTAGACTGGCAATGCTAATCTCAACCTCAGTTTGGATCCAGAGGAGCTGGCTGTAAGAAAACCCACCTCTTTGCTTCACGCAATCACAATGACATATGACTCAAGAGATGGTGGACAGAAACAGCCATAAATTAAATCAACTCCAAATTTCAGTTCTCTACTCCTGAAGAAACGCCAGACTGCAAATGGACGGTCTGTGTATCAAGCAGGGTTTTGTGTCTCTGCCTTGGCTGGGTTTTAAATTTCTAAGAATGACGTCAATTCCCAAAACTGATATGCAAAACAAAAGCAGCTGTATCTGCCTCTAGCTGCTTAGACTGTAGACTACACATTAACTCCCAAAGGAAAGGAACGAAAAAAGGGAGCCTGCACAACTGTAATCCCAGCACTCTGGAGGCTGAGGCAGGAGGATCTCTGTGAGTTCGAGACCAGCCTGAGCTACATAGTGCTGAGGTTGAGGATATGATGCTGGGATTGATTCAGGGTATGATGCTAGGATTAAGGTTGTCCCACCCCAGGTGTGAGTACCCAGTAGTGTGGATTGGCTATAAGAGACAGAAAGAGGGTCACTGCTTGTCATTTGTTGCTTGCTGTCTGCTGCCTTCTGCCCACCATGAACTGTTTCTCCTCTGTGATGCCTCTCTGCCAGGCCACCCTTCCTTGGAGCCAACCATCTATGGACTGAAACCTCTACAAACTGTGAGCCAAATAAACCTTCCTAACTTTGGGTGTTGTCTCCACAATGAGAAATGTAACTAAGACAATGGCTGGTAAGTTTTCAAAACTACACTGCAGCCATGGAAGAGCCAAACACAGAAGAGTGACATCTGCTAAGCAGTGTGTCTGCCAGGCTCTCCTCTCTGTAAGCCCTTCCCTGTTGGCTAGATAAAAACACGCTGTCTGCTAGGCTATTGTGGGCAGTCCTCACAGATCTGTGCCCACTGTGTGATCACTGACATCAGCTGGTCAGTGTGAACGGACAGCTTCAGGTCCCACCACAGCTCAGTCATGAGTCATAATGGAAGGGGGCCCAGAGCCAGCCAGTTCAAACCTCCGCCTGACATCTGGTAGGAGTGGCTCCAGCAGGAGGGCGAAACTGTCAGGTTGCTGAGGGCTGAGCGTCACTGTATGGTAAGGCAGCTCCAGGCCAGGCATGGTGGCGCACACATGTAATACCAGCACTCGGGAGGCAGAGGCAGGATCACTGTGAGTTCAAGACCAGCCTGGGCTTAATAATGAGTTCCAGGTCAGTCTCAACTACATAGAGAGACCCTGTCTCAAAAAACCTAAAATAAATAAGTAAATAAAAAGTAAGGCAGCTCAACTCACTAGCTGGCATGGCCATGGCCATGGCCACTGGGCCTGCAACTCCTTCCCTGGACCGGGGAAGGGCACATAAGTCTGCTCCAATTCTCAAAGAAAGACACAAAGTCCCTCACGTTAAGTGGGTACTGGGGAAATAGGGCCCACTTCTAACACAGTAACTAAACAGAAAGCCCTAGGTAACTGACTGCTCTGATTAATAAAACTACCACTTTTAGAATACCCATAATAGAATAAAACATTTAGCACTAAAAAATACTCAGCAAACTGGGTCCAAAGAACAGGAATGTTGGTTAAAATTCCCTAAAATTGTTTTAATTTACTTAAGTTAAAGTCAGTAACTCTCAAATATATGTCCAATTTTTTTAAGTACCAACTTGGGATTGAGTGAAATTCTACAATTTCAGTATCACCCTTTCATTAAAAAAAAATTGTTTTTTAAATGTTAAAAGCACAATCCCAACAAAAAGGGAGGGAGAAAGAAAACAAAATGGCCAGAAAGAAAAGTTTTCATCTGTATGTACACAGGTGCTTTTAAAACTAGAAACTAAAATTATGAGGCTGCAGATCTAAATTGTAGAAGTCAGATATTTCTGATTTAGGGGAGAAAGCAATGCGGAGAGCAGGAGCAGGAAAGTCACGCTGTGCAAATCCCTGGTGGCCGACTGTACCACACAGAGCGGGCCAGCATGCAGGTCAAAGGAGCAGCAGTGTATCCTTTCCACCAAGTGCAGAGCTAAGCTAAGCAACACTCAGGTTTTAAGCTGCATCTAAAGTGCCTCTGAAGTGAGCTAACAGTGCATCCTTCCCTGGGTGCTCTATGCTGTCTTAAGGTCTGCCATGCTGGCCCCTGGCCGGCCTCCTCCCAGGGATGCCAGATCCTGCATTCAGCTATGTCCTGGGTAAGATTCTCCGCTTACTGCAGAGGCACCTCTGCTTGGGTCCCAGGAGCAGGACACACTACACAAGGATTTCCACACAACTGTTCAGAACACTCGCCAAAACTACAGCATGGTTTTATTTTTTGGTTTTGGTTTAGATCCTGGGCATTCAACCTAAACCTAAACCCTTCAACTGAGCTACACCACCAAACCTTTTTAATATTTTTAAAATTTTAGGACAGGGTTATCACTGAGACACTAAATTGCCCAGCTCAGCCAAATGAGATTCTCTCGCCTCGGCCTCCCAGAATGCTGGGATTACAGATGTGTGCCACCTTGCCCTGCTTCGGCATGGTTTTGAAAGCCAAAGACATGAAAAGTACCCTCAACTAACATAGCAAATATACATAAAGTGACGCCCCTCTGGAAAATCCTAGCTCATGGGCTTTGCCCAAAGCAAGAGCTCAAAAAGCAGCCACTGCATGAAATGTGGGATCAGAGCGTCTCCAAAACAACTGCTCCTCCAAGCACAAGTGACCTTGGACAGACAACTGCTGGTGGGGGTACCTCCAAACGGGCTGGGGTTGGAGGGCAGGAGCCTCCTTCCAGGTTCACATCCTCTGAGAAGTAAGCAGCACCACTAACATCCCCTCCTTAGTACAAGGTGTCTGGTTCATTTAGCAGGTTGTAGGTGAGGGTGAAATCTTTCCATTTTTATTTACAACTGGAATTTCTCATGGGGCTATTTGTTTCCTTTGTCTGTCTGTAGATCTTGATATATTAACTCCTGTAGGTTCGAAAGAAATGATATAGCTACTGGCCCCTTTACCCCAGTACATCTATGATTTTGCTTTTCAATGAACAAACATTCCAACATTTTGCAAATTCACATCTGTAAACCTTTTTCTGCCTTTAAAAAGAAAGTTACTCCTTCACAGACACCAGTATAATAAAATGTTCCGAGAAAGAGATGGCGCTGTCTTTGGCAGATACGCTGTGTGCTTTGCCGGGGGTCTGTCTCTCCATCACTGTGAATACTGCCCTCTGGTCCAGGCTCATTCTGATGGACCGTGCTTCCTTCACTCCCTGCCATCAGCCCCTTCCCAAAGTCCCGGAGTGGGCATCTCCCCCGGCCCTCAGACACATGTCTGCCTGTGCACCAGGGGAGCCCACCCCTGCTTCACAATCTACAGCTGGCAGCTGTGGAAAAGTTCATCACCTGTGTGTCAGTTTTCTCATTTGTGATAAAATGCACATGTTCCAAGACTGTTGGGGCAATTAAAGGAAGTAAGCATGCACGGTGGTATATTCATATAAATCCCAAGTACTTGGGAGGATGAAGCAGGAGCGTCTCAAATTTGAGGACGGCCTGGACAATTTAACAAGACCCTATCTCAACATAATTTTTTTTTTAAGTTGGAGGCAGACTATAGCTCATGGTAGAGAGCTTGCTGGCATGCATAAAGGCTCAGGTTCAATTCCCAAAGGAGTGAAGAAGAGAGAGCCGGGAGGAGATAATAAGTGTAAAATATGTAACACAATGACCCACACATAGCAGATCCTCTGAAAGTAGCATATATATTAATTATTCTATCTGATAAGAATAAAAACAACCTGCTAAAAATGTATTTCAGAAACTTCAAGAACAGGGCCAGGCATGGTGGCTCACATACATCTGTAATCCCAGCACTCGGAAGGCTGAGGCAGGAGGATTACCTACCATTAGTTCAGGTACAGTCTGGGCTACACAGTGAGACCCTGTCTCAAAAGACCATTTTTTAAAAACGCAGGGCTGGGGATTTAGCTCAGTGGTGCCGCACCTGTCTCGCAAGCACAAGGTTCTGAGTCCCCAGTACTACACACACACACAAAAAAAGAAAGAAACTCAAGAACATTAAACCAACTAACAGTTAAAATGCACTAATTAAAAATAACAAATAACACCCCACTGTAAGTCCATCTTGTTTTGCTGTTTTATATTTTAAGTGAATTATTGTGTTGTCTGAATCAACCCACACAGCACTAATATTCAGTGAGATTTCTCACTTTAACTCAAACTCTAAACTGATATTCTAGAAACAGACTTGGGTGTGGCTTTGAAAACAACCCTGGGTGAGGCAGCTGAAGATAAGCCAACCATCTGCTGAACGGAACACACTCCAGTGAACTTCAGTGCACCCTTGCCTGTTTTTGTTTCCAAAATCTGTTTGATACTGCTGACACAGAAAGCCTGCCTTGCATGGCCATCAAAATTCCACTGCTCTTACCACATGGACTGTGAATCATGTGTGGGACTCACACCCAGAGTTCAGACCCCAGCTCCCACATAAACTGCATACCCTCAGGCACACGTCTGCTTCTCTGCAGGCCTCCATTTCTTGTCTGAAAGGTCAAAATGATACCATTATCTACTTGCCTGGTTTAAGATTAAAAAGAAAAAAGTACAAAAAAATGGAAATAAAGTGTTTGTAAATGGGGGGGGCATGGACAAGGGGGAAAAATTGAGAAGAACCAAGACCTGTCATGTAAAGGTACAAGATCCCCATAATGAATGTAATTGTCCTGAATAGCTAAAATGTACCAATAAACTCAATTTTAAAAAAATGATTAAATGAGCTAGTCAGGAACAATGCACCTGTAATCCCTACTACGCATACATCAGAGGCAGGAGAATGGCATGTTTGAGGCCAGAAATTCTCCCAAAAATAAAATAAACCAAAAAGAGCTGGGATGCAGCTCAGTGACAGGGCGCTCAGCTCAACACCCAACACAGGATGGTGTGGGGCTGAGCTCCTTTATGCCAGGTGTGCAGTCCAGTGCCCAGGAAACTCTGAATGGTACTAATCACTGCTATTACTACGACCTTCAAAGGCTGCACATCTTCAGAAGAGGAACTTCCGGTCCTGACCGAGTCCTGGCCATCTTCCTTGGTAGGGGAATGGGGCCACAGTCA